TCTGCAGTTCAGGCTGGCCTTAGGCTCACTTTGTAGCCCAGGCTGCTCTCAACTCTCAAGGATCCTCCTACCTCAGTCTCCTGAGTGCTGGGATTATAAGCATGTGCTACCAAGCCTGGCTAAAATAAGAATGGTAAGGTAATTATCTGTTAATAATATAAAGAAAAAGATTCTGAAATTTTTTCAATTCCAGCCTCTTCTAAAAAATAATACAGTTACAATTCAGGCTCTTATCAGTCAGGGCATAATTAAGCAAGAGCTAAAGCAGTTCAGAAACTAATGTGCTATTTCTCTAAAAGTATGTCCTACGTTTACGGTACTAACCTGATTTGAACCAGCATCGAAACTGTCAGGAAGAAATTCCAGATGTCGAATAGCTCTGACTTTAGTAGGCATCTGGATAATTCTGAAGAGCTGTGTAGCTTCTAAGCACCACAAATGAAGATGGTTTGATTTGCCTCCAGCAGCCAGAACTCGGCCATCTCTATATAATTAAAAGGCAAAAAAGTAAGATTAGTTCAGCTGTTTATAGGACCACTGGCCAGCAATACTTGCTTTGATGCAATGGCCAACACGAGCACCACTAGCCACACACGATCACTGAACTCTGGAAACACGGCTAGCGTTACTGAGAAAGTCAAGTTTTAATTTTTTGTGAATAGTCACATGTAGCCAATGGTTACCAGAGATTGGACTGGTCAGGTTATTTATTTCGGTATGCACTTACTTAAACCTATTCTATTAAGGCATCAGCTTTACTGCCAGCTTAACAAATACTCGTCCGATGATTTGATCAGGGAGTTTTGAGTAATATTTGTATTTTATAGCACAATCTTGATGTCACCTTCTATACTTCATACATGACTATACTGAATTGTTTTTTTAAAAAAGGCCAAACTTTTTTTGAATATCTGGAAAGCTACTTGATCAAGTACACAAAGAGTAAGTTACATTGACCTGCAAGGTTACTGCCTGTTTACTCAACAAGGATTTGTAAAGCATCTAATATAAGCCAGCTTCATTCCAGGATCCAGGGGCAGAGGAATGAGCAAGTAAGGTTAAGACTGAACAAGTTAGGCAATCCTCTCTCAAGTTCTTTTTTTTTTTTTTTTTTTTTTGGCAGAACGGGGGATTGAACTCCGGCCCTTGCGCTTGCCAGGGAAGCGCTTATTCCACTGAGCCATCTCCCCGGCCCCTTGTTTTTTTTTTTTTTTTTTTTTGGCAGAACGGGGGATTGAACTCCGGCTCTTGCACTTGCCAGGCAAGCGCTTATTCTACTGAGCTATCTCCCTGGCCCATTGTTTTCTTTTTTAAAAGCATCTTAAGCTAAGGAAAAATACATTTATAATGTGTCCTTTCTCTAATTTCCATTTAGAGAAAGATAAAAAACACATGAACCTGATGGTTGCAGAGTGACAAATTCTGTTCGGTACTAAAAAAACAGGTGATGAAAACTGTTAAAGCAGGAAGATCTGCTACTACCTGAGTGACAGAACTGGGCCAATCACAGGATGACTGGCAGGAACAATTTTAAACTGGTCGGAATTCCCAGGTGGCCAGAAAGACTGCAAAAGGAGTAAGATTAGTATATTAGGAAAAGCAGCAGCACTCCAGTGTGGTTGGAGTAGATTACGGGCAAACAGATGAGATGAAGAGGAGCCCTGGGCAGGTGATACAGGGCTTCAGGATATTTGACTGGAAAGTGGATTTTACTGAGCACAGTGGAAAGCCTTCCAAGGTAGTAAAGAGAAAAGTAACGTGACCTAAATTAATGATTTGCAATGACCACTCTATCTGCTGGGCAGACTGATTCTAGAAAAAGGAAAATGGACCAAGTAAGAGGCTATTACAGCAGTCAGAAAGGTAAATAGGTTTGCTGGTACCAGAGTAAGAACTGTGACAACAGACAAAGAACTGCCCAATTTAATATATAGTTTGGTAGAGCTGTAAGATTTACTGAAGACTGATTGCAGTACATTGAGCTCCA